TCGGACTTTTTTTTCCTCAGAATTCTCACTTTAATCTCAGAATTCTGACTTTAATCTCAGAATTCTGTTTTTTTTCTCAGAATTGTTACTTTAATCTCAGAATTCTGACTTTTTCTCAGAATTCTGACTTTAATCTCAGAATTCTGACTTTTTCTCAGAATTCTGACTTTTTCTCAGAATTCTGACTTTAATCTCAGAATTCTGACTTTAATCTCAGAATTCTGTTTTTTTTTTTCTCAGAATTGTTACTTTAATCTCAGAATTCTGACTTTTTCTCAGAATTCTGACTGAATTTTGACAGCTAACAAGGATGTTTGCATCGAGCCATAGCCATGTCTGTTTCAGAGACTAGCCCTCTTGTTTTTATCACCATCTGCTCCTCCATTAATGAAATAGCATCACCAGGGGCCCCTCTGGCACATAAAAAGTTGCCTAATTTCGTCATATTCCACCATTGTGTTACTGGCCCTCCCAAACAATTCACATCTTTGTCAGTGAAGCTGAATGCTCTCACATCTCTTTCTTCATGGTGCCATCTACATTAAGATCCACAATTCTGAGATTAAAGTCAGAATTATGACTTTTTTTCTCATATTATACTGAAATAAAATTTTAAAATCAGTTAGCTTTTTTTGTTTTTTAAGTGGCCCTAATCCTCTTCCGTGATATTGGCCTCTTATTTTGTTCTTTCTTCTTTTCCTTTTCACTCAATCGCGTTTCGTAATTTTTGGTCCTTCGAAGGACTCTTACGTCATGTGACTGTCAGCTGACTCTACCCGGAAACGTTTCGTGAAACTGACAGCAACATAAAAAGGTTTTCATCCAGAACATTTGTTTACACTAAACTAGGAATTATAATCGATGGAGTCGACGCTTGAACAGCATCTTGATGATACGTGAGTTGAAGCCGACTGGTTACTTTATCTTTTTGTATTCTGTGGCTATAAACAGCTTATTTTAATCTCTTTGTTTGTTTTTGTTTTTAGCATGAAGAATCCAGCAGTGGTCGGAGTCCTCTGCACTGATCAACAGGGACACAGTCTGGGATGTAAGATTCTAGGTTTTATATATCTGAAGATTCTCAGTCATCTTGGTCAAGCATGAAAAGTTCACTTTAGACAACTGGACATGACGTTTTCTAGAACTCTCATCCAAGAGGCTTCATCAGTTCTAACAAGTGGAGACTGAGATTATTCAAGGTTTTATTTAATGATATTTGAGGATAACACGTTAAACGCTAGAAATCAAAGTTGTACGCTTCTAAATTTGTAGTTATAGAGTTACCATCATGTGTAAATCAAGTTATTGACAATTAATTAAATAGTGGACATTAACATTGGTATCCATGACGACCTTTAGAGGGAAGCTCTCATGGGAAGTAATGTTCTGCTTGGTACTGCTGGCATCACATAGTCAGATTGGATGGGCAGTAACTGATCTACATTAAGGTTATTCTGACAGCTGAAGTCTCTATGATCTGAATCTCTCCAAGTTGTAGAACTGCCTTCATGTGGAGCATGAACCTCCTCCCAAACCTCAAGTCCCTGGCAACCACATCTGGAATTTTATATGACTTGCATTTGAATGAAAGCCTTCCAACTGCATGATGCTGTCACTTCCGTGCCCCATTGTCAGAATAATGTGTTTAAGGGGAGTTTTAATGTTCGCTTTAAGAGATGAGATGTTTTGTTTTGGTCTGATTTGTCTGGTTTTCCCTTCATGTTTTGTGGAAAAATCCAAACAATTATTTTTTAATTTTCCTATGATTGACTGATTAGCACTCTGTTAGATGTTTTAATCTTTGCATGTTTTTTTGCTAATTCAACCCTTTTAAAAATACATATCTGCACAGGTGTATCCCTAAATGGCAGTGGCCTCTAAGTTTAAAATACATTCTGGTGTGCTGCAGGAATAACAATAATTATTTGAGGAACACATATTTTAAATATGTACCTCTTAAATTGTCCAAATATATATATTTGGGGTGAGTTTGACAAATTACTACCGTCAATGCACTAACAATTCAGTTCAATTCAGTATATTTATATAAGGCCAATTCAGAACACATGTCATCACATGACATTTTACAGGGACAATACAGTCAAATTAGTTAAAATTCTCTATCAAGGCAAACCAGCTGATTGCACCGAGTCACTGACTTGCAAGACATGCTGCTCACACCAAGCATTACAATGTACTTAACTGCATCAAACTGAAGAGGAAGTTGACTTTGAATCAATCTATATTAGGGCTTCACAATACATAGGGATCGATCACAGTATTGAGGTGTTTAATATTACATTTTCAAAAGATATCATAATACAATAATACAAATCTTAGGAACCTGTATTTTACATCTAAATGTCACATTTAAGCAAACCTGTCAGTATCACAGCAGCAGGTTTTCACCCCAGATTGTCAAATTGTTTAACTAAAAAATGTATCATCTGTCTGCTTTATGCTAAACATCACATTAGACTATAAAAGGTTTCAGTATGTTTAGAGATTGAAGTTGTGCCGACCCTCTTATACAGTGTAACTCTACAGCAGTTCTGATCAATAAAGACAGAAGTAATCCAAGCATTTTACAAGACAGTTTTTTTGTAAGCAGTTACAGCTGAAAATCTCTCTGATTCACCTGGCTCTTCTCTCACCCTGCAGATGTGGTTGACTCTTACCATTTGAGAGCTTCTGTTTAATGGGCCGTAGCTTTTAGAGACATGAGTAGTGAAAAATTACACCAAACTTAGACTGCAGGGAAGAAAAAGGTGTACGTTTGCCATTATTAACAGTGTGGTATGTTTATATGTTGGCTCGACTGAGGACTTGATTTCTGTTATTTGGGTTTTTTGTAAGTTGCTCTTTGAACTGATTCCTTATCATGGTTTTGGCCCCAGCAATCTCTGATTAAATCAGGTAAACCTTTTGTAAAGTGAACACTGAAGGCAGTAAGATGTGACATGTGATCTTAAAACATCACAAATGAGTCAATCAGGATGATAAGAAGTTGATTAGAGCACAGATGGAGAAGTTAAAAAGTAAATCCAGGTGTAATCCCTCCAACAGTGACACCATAACGAGCTGTTCATCAGTCACATGACGGAAGACACAATCAGCTTTTCCCATACTGGTAGCATAAAGTCGTGTGATACGGATTTATGTGATACAGGCTCACAATGCCCTAACCACTAGACCGCCACTCCACTGCTGCCCTTCATCACGGAGTTATGACCCCCACTCCTGATGGAGATTGCACTCACTTTAAAGCTTGTTTATTACGCAGAAAATGGTATTAGACTAATTAGTGAGATATACTCAGAAGCTTCCTGCATTCCTTTATTCTCTGTGTTCTGTTTTGGTTTGCAGGTCGTGGCTCATTGACTGACGAACACGGTGGCGTCGTGTCTGTTTTGGCCAAACAAGCTGCAGCTCTCCCCAAAGACCCAACAGACTCCCCTACTGTCTGCCTGGAGTCTGACTCAGGGTGAGCGCTGACACACTTTCTGCTGGACTTGTATTTCCTGTTAATCTTTTATTTATAATCTGTCTTGCGTAAGTCTGTGGTAGTTTTGATTAATGCTTGGAAGGATCTCTCTATATTTAACACCCAGTGCAATAACTACATCTGAATACCCATGTAAACACCCTGTTCAATAACCCTGTATAGTCCTACATTTAAAAAAGCTGTCATATGTGGACACACTATATATACTGTATATATATCCCATGCCAATTTTAGGGGCTCTGCTGCCACCTTCTGGTTAATGTAAAACATCAGTTTATGCTGCCAGATTAAAAATTGTAACTTTCCAAAATAATTTCAGTCGTAAAACATTAGAGTCGCTTTCATTATGTTAATATGTTCTTTAATTTAACATAGTGTAAATGTATATCAAATGCAAAATGTCAACAAAAACAAACAAAAAACAATAAGACTTTCATTGGTGAGGTTTTGCTTCTAATATCGTGAGAGTTTATACATTTTTAGGTTTTTGGTTGAGTTTTATGCCAAAATATTTAGCTTTAACATGAAATCTAAATTATCGAGGAAATTTTTTGTCAGTTTAGTTGTTAAGAAAGAAAAAAAATGATTTGTATAGTTAGAGTTAAAAGTCAAACTATTTAGTTTGGTGATATTTGTTGTGCAGCTAGTTTTTGTTGCATTAGCATTTCTACATAAAGAAACAATTTTTCCAAATTATGGCCAGTAGTTGTATAGCGTTTAACAAGTCCTTGGTCTCTAAGTGCTCTACAATCAGTCACTCATTCAGACAATATTTCACACACTGAGCTGCATTGAAGCTACAGATGCTCGCGGGCACTCTGGCAGAAGCTAGGATGCTGTACACAGAAAGACCTGATCCTCTGACTATCATCTGTTGGAAATACGAGTGAAGTATCTGGACCAAGGACACGACGGTAGAGACAGAAGAAGCTACATAAAGTTTATATGTAGCTTCACTGGAGGTGCAGCTGTACACAAACAGCTGCACCTCCAGTCATCAGTCTGTCAAGCT